ATTGTAAGCCTTTCTTTTTTCCATCTGCCCTCTTGAAGCAAGAATGCATGAAGGGAGAAACATCTTTCTTCGATCTCCTTTCATTTCTTTCCCTCCACTTTGTTCATAGGTCATTGTTCCCGTATTAGCCTTCAGCTTTGCTTATGTGAATTTTGTTATTGCAACAGTCTTTTTCCTTCTAACCTGGAATCTCCATCTCATCTTCTCTTGCAATTTCCATCTTCCCCTCCTCCCACATTACACTTTAATATTTATAATATCCTCTTCTGGGCCTCTACCAGAAGAATGATCTTTATTAACGATTCCTATTTGGTCGGTTTCTGGAAGATTTTCAGATTATTAGCTGAAGATATTTTCGTTCCTAAAATCATTTGCAAATTATGTTAGCTAGTTGTTTGTTGCTCTCCAGATCTGTGGCTTCTTCTCCGATCCTGGTGACTTGATCTCATCTTTTACTTCCCAAAGTTGTAAACATACAGGTCTCCATTGCATCCACACAGTGATGCGAGTACATGTAACAGGATATGTTTTTAATGTAGAATTCCCTGTTTTAAATATCTAAGCGTAGTATCATGAATATCATTTCCAGGAGAGATTCCTGGAAGTATCAAATGGCAGTATTTCTGTGGATGTCATAACACCAGAACTATTCAAGCAGTATGCCTTTGTGGGAAGTATTACTGTGAGGGAACAGAGCTGCCAGTAAGAGTATTGTGGGCCTGCGGGAAGCTTCTTTGATTGTCTTTGATTCTTCACTATGTCACTAAGCTTTGTTATTGCAGAGTTGTGGTTCACTGCAATAACATCTAAGTTAGCTCTTATCTCAGTTGTTTCTTGTCACATCACAGACTGTCTTGATGTGAAATTCATTTCCTTTATCGACTGTCTCCAAAAATGCACAGCTCAGTCATCCTTCCTCTTTCTTCAGTTTCCTTTGTCTTTAAAGAAAACCGTTTTAATTAATTGATTATTTTCTTCCCTCTTTGTGGAAGCTTTTTATTATCTATACATGAGGAAACACAGTGGAAAGGAAATCAATGTTATCCTCAATGTCAAGAGCAGCTAATATAATTATTTTTTTCTTTTTCTTTTTCATTTTGTTTGTAGAAGTTCTCTTCTTTTTATCCTCTCAGAATGTAGCATTCTTATATAAATGTTAGTCATAATTTTATAATAGTTTGAATCCCAGTATTTAGTTACTGCACAACTACATTATAGAAATTACCTTTTACCAAAAGACAATACTGTGTTATTCCGGGATGGTATTTTGAGTTATGAATCAAAGTGGTTTATGTTAAACCACAGAGGTTTTAATGATAAGATAAAGCACTGATGCATATGTTTTATTAATGAAATCTTTTGCTTGCTGTACCTCAAGTTAGTCATTGAAATGTCTGTTCTGCAAAGCTTTCCTGTGGTGTGACTAAAACTGAATTTTGATATCCTACCATACAGGCAATCATCTGTAGGCATGCATTATATTGTCATTGCAAATTTTTGATCTTTCTTGATCATTTATTGATTTTGTGTTTGAGGCATACTGAAAGCAGTCTATTGTTAACATTCTTGGGAAGACTAATTCTATTAGTGCTTTCGTAGGATATATTCTTTCTGTCAAATGATAAGAGATCCTTATGCCATTTCTGTTAGTTCCATAATAAGTATATTTTTGACATTTAGCTGTGTAGTCTATACATAATTGATCTTTTTCTCTTTATTTCATGAATGTCTAAGGATGCTTCGCTACTGTAATTTTATTTTCTTCCACTGTTTTACATAGGAATTTAAAGAACATTCAGTGTTACTGTCTCTCTGTAACAAAATTCATCCTGAATGGCAGGTGATATTGGTGTTTTTTTGATCTCAGGCTGTTCAGTTTCAGCAGCAGCTTCCTATCTGTGTCATCAAGGAGTTAGCTGATATTTTTCCCCTAAGTTGAACTTTTCTCAATTATTTTCTTGATCTGTTTCTAAATAACTTCAGGACCAGTCAGACTGCTTCTCTTTAGTCATTGACAAGAAAGTACAGTTCAGTTTTGCTGAACTGTTTGCCAAATATTAGATCACTATTCACTGTGGCATGAAGTGAACATATTATTTATGCTTTATGTATTGCGCTGAAAGAGCTGAAAGAAAACACCCATGCCTTGACTTCGTTGAGCTTTTTGCCTACAGGTTGGCCCAAGAACCCAGTTTTGCATCTGAAATGATCTCTTCTGCCATGTAAAAAACACTCAATCTCATTGAGAGCTATAACTATTCTCTAATTTAAGGTTTATGAAAGAATCATCATTATCTAAATATAAAAGGAAATTGAAACATGTTCAAAAACCTTCCGTACCCACTTCGAGTGAAGCATTGAGTGAAGCATTGCATATTGAATTTTCTAGTACTGAGATCATGCATAAGGAATGTATCCCCAATAAGTCCCTCTTAGGAAATTAATAGGTAAACTGGACTTATTTTTCTGAACGTCTTGCCAGGATGTTATAATGAGAAGTAATCATAATTTCAGGTAATCTAGAGCACATTATTCATAGTGTTCATATATATGATACGCGTGGCACATGCATATTTATCTTTCCGTGTTGTTTGATTTTTATCTTCTGTTAAAAAGAGCTGACAAAAAATATTAAGATTTTCTATAGTGAGAGTTGGACTACAGGCACTGAACTCCAGATATTATTTCCTGGTGAAATCACTATTTTCTTAATGTAGAAGGAAAATGAAGCATGTTGTGTTGACTATTACTATTTTAGAACAATTTTAAGAATTAGTTCAGTTTGACAGGAACTCCCAGTGTTCATTAATCTTCTCCTTATTTTTGCTTCTTATACTTTTTGTTCAACATTGATCCATTTGAGATTTTAACAGTGCAGCAAACGATGGCAAGTCATGCATACAGATTTGCGTTCTCAGTAGACACATTTTATTAAACTGCCTCATTAAACATGAAAAATTTGTCTTCAGAGAGACAGATTGAAGTTTTCCCCTTCAGCTTTTCGTTGATATTTAACTTTGCAAATTTTTTATTGCAAACATATTTGAAAAAAATAAAAAAAACAGAAGAAAAGATTCTGAAATAAAACTGCAATTTGATTTCCCAAATGAATTGATGTTTATTTTTGATAACAGAAAAAAGGCAAAACTTACAGAGTGACGTTCAGAGTGTACAGGCATATTTTACAGCTCAGTATAAAGCTCAGAATTCCCAGTATGTAACCTCTAAACTGTAGAGGGAAATCAAGTGGAATGATAGTTGTACTCTGAATAAGTAAAGCTTTCACTTTGGGGGAAAAAGTCTTTTTTTATTGCCTAACTGAAGTGTCAAAAGGCTTTCATAGCAAAATTTTGAGTTTTCCTTGACAGGCACTTTCACAGTAGGTTAGTGAAGAAAGTATGGAAGCTATGCCTCTGGGTCTGATGTTCTTATCACTTCTAAGGTCTCCAGGAAATTAGATACTTATTTCTTGTATTAGATTCTTTTCTTTAGGGTCATTAACATTACAAATAGCATGGCAGCTGTACTGTATACTTTTTCACCTAAACCCTTCGTTACACATAGCTTCCACCGTAGCTCAACAGCAAAAACTGATGCTGTATCTGAGTGGTCCAAATACTTTCAGAATAACAATTTGTCTGTCATTTCGATGATGTTTAGATGATTCTAACTTTGATAGGAGAACTTGAAAGGAAAAAGTACACTTTTTACCTTTTCTCTAGCAAGGCATTCTGACGCGCAGCTTTCACAACCTGCCTTTCCTCTGTGCTCAGCAAATCAGACAAGAGCTAGGCAAAAAGCCACTGTGGGTACATCCTATAAGATGCTGAGCGTGCTTCCATAATAGTGTGGAAAAGTTAAGCATCTGATGACTTACATTGTACTGAATGAGGGTTGGAGGGGGAGGTATTGAGTTTAAATTAATATGTTTAAGTGTTCTTTCAGATAGGAGAAGAACACTTTTCCACTATTCAATGCCAAATTACTATCATCGGGTGTTTCCTAGGAGAGAGATATGGATGTATTAGAAAATCGCTGTGGTGGAATTTAAGCTATAATAGTGCTCTATTCATGCTAAAATGACCTGTCAGCTACTTAGTGAGATACCTCCTTTCTCTAGCCCTGTCTCTTTCTTTATCCCACACCAATGAGCAATACAAGCACTAAGATTCTACCCCCTGTCTTTTAAAATAAGGGGAGGAGAGAAGAAAGTTCCTGAGGAAGGTGCACCATGAAATCTCGGTATTTCAGGTATTTTCTTCTGAAATAACCCAGATCTGTTCATCTATTCCAAAGCCTACCTTAATTTTCTATAATTATGGGGAAAAGTGCAATTGAGATTACAACTTGTTGAAAGAATAAGCAGCTGTTGATAACTGTTGTTCCCAGAGGCAGGGGAAAAAAAAAAAATATATATATATATATATGTATATATATATGTAATATATATATAAAGATGCACAGGAGCTGCCCAGTGCTCTCATTAGCAAAGTCTAGTAGGTGGCTGTCTATTGGATAAGTGTATTTTTGTTGTATGTAATTAAAAAGAACAGAATGAACATGTTTCAGCATCCTGTTAGTCCTTAATGGTCACACACAGAAGATTTCAACATAAAATGGTTAAAGCTATGAATAATGCTAAAGCAACAAATTAATGTAGAGAAATCTTCACTAGTGTATGCAACAAGCTTAACCAGAAGACAGAGGAGTTAAAGCTTTTGCACCTCAAGTTTGAAATTATTGCTGAACTGAGCTGCAGAAATATATCCCAAGGGCATGTAGATAAGCTGTAGAATAGGGTAAAAAAATGCATTTTCCATTATTTGAAGTGATCTGTTACGGTTTGCGGGAACTTTTATGCTAAGTGTAGATAGCAAAGTAAAATGACTTAATTTTCCTAGAACAATTTAAGGGAATTACACTTATTTTTAATTCGTATTTGTTTCCCTCAGTAATTTAATAGGTTTTACATTAAAGCCTGATTAACTATAAATAGGCCATTATCTGCAGCATGATTTTACTCCTATATTCAGCTTTTCTTATTCAAATTCAAATTTCAAATTCATCAAGGTATCCTTCATCGGCTGCGAGCATATAGTATTTGGCTATGAGACTATGTAGTTGAGCTATTTCACAGACTGCAAGACACTATATTTAACTGTGAAGGCATCTGCTGTACGTTTTACTGCATTCCCAGTGCAGAAACCAAAAGGAACTTTCCATGCCCAAGTTACAGGATGGCACAATTGAATGGATACTGTCTCCCTCAGTGAGAAACCCAGTTTTTGAAGATGTGCATGCTTGCTTAGCTCTACTCAAATTGAGACCCACTGATTTTAAGTATTTCCATTTCCAGTGCGCACCGGTGATCTCTGCATTAACAAATACCTCTGTGCAATGGAAACTGAGCTGTAGAGTGAAACATTTGGAACTAGGGATCCAGTGTCCACACTGTATGGTTTTGGGAAGTTTTACTTTAGTCTAGCTCTAATGTCGTCCCTGGGACTGAATGGCCATTAGCAGTCAGAATAAATCAGATGTGTTGCTAGAGCACATCTTCTGGTTTAGTTTCATCCCAAGGCACCCGGTTAGCGTGCTCTGAAAGCATTCCATGAGGCAAATCAAAGTAGAGTGAGTGGGGAGATCAAGGGATTCAATTCAGAAGCATACTTCTGATCAGAACTAAAATGCTAAATTGAACACCCCACAGTGGAGGTGATGCCTCAGCAGTTAATTTAACTGAGAAGTTTCAGTTTTCTTTCAGAGGCGGAATAACATGAAAGGAGCCAGTTTCATTATTATTAGTTCTCTATTATTAAAAGTGGACCAAAGGAATCTGTAGAAAGCAGTGTCTGTAGAAAGGTAAACACATGGCACGAAGACTGAACGTTGATAACTTACCAGTCTTTCATTTACTGGTTTCCTGTGTGAAATGTCCAGGAAAGATGGCAAAAAAGAGTCATCATTAAATGTCTTGAAAAAACACTGTAAAATATATAATCTCTTGCCTTCAATCTACCTACTCTGTACTTCTGCATTTTATTCTCTCCAAAATATAATTTGTAAGTTATCCCACTCAGTGACATTCAAGAAATTACAATTCTGTTTTACTAAAAGAATCTGTTAACAGCATAAAAATATTGGTCTTTTGAAATCCTTATCTTTCTAAATTTTTTTTTTTCCACTATTGAATCCATCATTGGAATTCCAGCAATCTTAATGAAGTTACTTAATTTCCAGATCTTTGATGCTATTTGATAGCTAGATATTTTGACTCCTTTAGTTTCTTTCATTGATTTTGGGGCATTTATGCAAATATTTTAAATATGTCCTTCAGGATCAGTTTGTACTGTAGAAGATAAAAAATTCCTGAAATCTGTAGTCTTGAGATATTGAGAAGTCTGAGCGTTATCCAGCTTTGGGGTCTATATGTGTGAACACGCACAGATATGCATGCTATATAGCTATTATATATGTTTACATATGTTTAATTGTTAAACACAGAGAAGTTTTTTCAGATTAATGTACATTCTTTAAAAATATGATAGAATGATAATATATAGAGAAGATGTTACCGATCTCTCAATTTTAGAACAAGAGGACTATAGAGGTTTCAAAAGTGCATCTGAAAATACGCATATTTGACAGAGAATTATATTTATTGCCAATTAACTTTTATTTTCCTGTATATGCAGGTACATCTGTTCTACAGGTGACAGCCACAGATGCAGATGACCCTACATATGGAAACAGCGCCCGAGTGGTATATAGTATTCTTCAGGGACAGCCATATTTCTCTGTTGACCCTAAAACAGGTGGGTATCTTATGTTTTCTCTCAAAGTGATTTGGTTAATAGAGAACAATTAACTAATCTGGCAGATGGAATCTCATGTAAAACATATGGGTGGGTGTTTTTTTCTTTTTTTAATTTCTATTATATTCTACTTTTGACTCGTAACACCCTGAAATTTAGGAGTTGCTGTTTTTTGCAGCCTACTAAAATTACCCTGCTGTGTATAGAATTAATTCTGCATCATGCTGTGATGGGAGCCATTCAGGCAAAGTGGAATATCACTTTTTCATCCTTGCAAGCCTCAGTTTAGGAAATGACTCAAGTTTAATAATTCTGATTTTAAATATCTTATTGCCTGTAGGATAGGCTTAGGAGAATTATTGAATGGGTACTTCAACACATATGCCATAATAAATTAATACCATGCTTGTATTTATAGAACTGCAGTATTTTCATTACACTGAAATTGTATTCTATGGCTCAAGGAGTAGAATCAGATAAAACACTTTTGCTTAAACTCAGTGTATCACCTTCTCGTTTTTCCCAAAAATGTAAATTATGTGTAACAAACCCAGATTGGTTTCTTTAAAGAGAGAAGAAATCTGTTTTGGGGATGAGGGTTGTTACCGTTTCTGAATTTTCTGAAGAACATTATCTTACCTATTGATATGATGCATTTTTAGCACACATTTGTAGTCCTTAATCATGAATATAACCTAAGTAATTTCATCTGAATTTTGTAACTGTTTTTCTCTATCAAACCTTTGATATCAAGGGAAAAAGTGAAATATAATGATCACTGCATTATCTCTATTTAATGCAGGGAAAAATAATGATTTTGAAATTGTGTGGAAGTAAAGTAAATGTAGAGTAACATACTTATTCTGGTATCCATATTGATCCTTACAGTATTTCCATTTAAGTGTAATCTTACATTTAAGTCTCTATGTTTCCTGTATGTTCATCTCTGTGAATCTTAGAGGAATGCAATTCTTTTGGTACAAAAGAAGTTAATCAGAATCTGGCCCTCAGAGAGGAGCAGATTATTTTTTTCTCGAGGCTGAATCTGTACATTAGGATTACAATGTAAGACTTTATACCGTTTCTTTAAGAGAAGCACAAGACTAGTGACTGAAGAAGCAGGAAATTACCTTCTCCCAGCTTCAGTGACCCTCAACTTCCAGATTACTTTGGGACCAAAGCAGACTTTGGGTAACTCTAAGCTTTTCTCCATTACCAATGTCCAAGCTAGAATTCAATGCTGGTGTACTCCTACAGTATGCCATGATATATAGGTTACGTAAGTACCAAGATTTATTTTTTTCCTAGATAGATTCTAGAGAGTCTAATGGGAAAATATATATACATAACTTTTTTTTAAATTAGAAATGTACTTTTATCAAAATCACAAAGTTCTGTAAAGCCATTTTCAGCCGTTCTTTTTTACCTGTTTGATTTTTCATCAGAGTTCTTGGAGAAGGGACAAGAGAGGGATAAAAAAGCCAAACCAGTAGAACATTCTTGGTGACACGTGCCTAGGACTCCTCTCTGTCTAAACAGAGTCTTGAATCTGGATCTCTCATCCAAGATGCCTTGCTAATGAGCTATCTTTTTCATTGCTAGATACATTTTCCTTCTGAAGAAAAAATAATGAAATATTTTATTTTCCTTTACCTTAGAATAAAAGCTAATGTTGCTAATGTAGGCAAAATTCTTATTTTCTGACACACTACATTTTTTCCAGTACTTCCACAGCTGTTTTATGCTGCTCTGCCTTTAAAGCCATGTAAAATTGCCATAGTGATTCTGAGAATCTCTTCCTAAATTTCATATTGATTAGCTTGCTAAATTAAGAGCTTATTTTGCTATGTTTTTATCTACCAAAATTCAAAGTTATTAATGATAATAAACTGTTAAGGGTGCTTGTAAGATTTTTACATTTAAAATTCGTCAAAGAACAACTAACAGATAATGATCTTACATAATGTTGAAGACAAAATGTTTTTGAGTTTCAAACAAAAAAGATAAATATATATTTTTATGTAACTATACATGTTCTTTATCTGGCAAAAGCATATTTTTGAAAGAGGATCGATCTAACTTGATCTTACTTGATCGATCTAACACTGTGATATGTTTAGTGACCTTTTTCAAGAATAGAACTAATATTAGTTGTAAGTGCAAAATTACTTCTACATACTGTTTTTTTTTTTTTTTAATGATAAAGTATTAAAGAAAAAGAAAAGGAAGTTCAGAGGCCAGATTGTTTCAACAGCTCTGGATACCATTGTACTAAACTCATGTTCGTAATATCAGTCACATGCATGTTGACTTTCAGAAACGATTTTCAGACCATCAGAGTGTTCCAGGGAGGGAATTTCTCACTGGATATAAAGAGAAAAGTTCTTCCTGTGAGGATAGTGAAGCGCAGGGACAGGTTGCCAGGAAAGGCTGTGTGATCTCCTCCCTCGGAGATATGGAAAATGCAGCTGGGCACAGCCCTGGGCAACCTGAGCTCACCTGGAAGTTAGGCCTGCTCTGGTGTGTACTAGATGACCTCCAGTGGTCTCTCTCAACTTAAATTATTGTTTGAGCCGGTGAACTCATGTAGATAGTCCTCAGAGCGCAAAGCCTGACTGGATAGTGTTGGAGGACTGTATAAGATGGTGGGAGGCAAACCTGGTACAGTCTGGTTCATCCTGCATCCTTGGGAGTGACTGCTGGCCACGTGCCTTACCCCAGCTGTGTCTGAGTACAGTCCTGCGGAGTAGTCATTGAGACAGGTTAAAACTGTTCTGGGGAACAATTGCTAACAATTAAGAGGGGTAGAAAATCAGTAGCGCAGTGCTCAGGCTCTCTCTGCACTGGTTTTGTATAGAAATACAAGCGTAGCCTGCGTTTTACTTGTGTTTTGTCACTCTGAGGCAGTGGTCTAGCTTTTGTATTTTGATAATGGTGAGGTACTTGTAGTCTGAAGCTGTTACTTTGTGAAAAAATTGCAACGGATGTTTGGAGTATCAGGTCTATATCACAAAAGAAAATAATACTGTTATTATCACTGTTTGTATCCGTTATAAAGAAAGCAGATGGAAGTGTATTTTCAGTTCCAAAGCCTTAGGCTTTGACAGGGTTTTAATGATATTTTATGACCTTACATTGTTTTTAGTATGTGTACAGAATATGAAATTTTTTGATTCCTTACCGTATTAGAATGCTTTTGTGGTGAAAGAATAAATGTCTTATGCGACAAGTAGACAGTGATACAGTGAAAAACTGGAGAAAACTTTCTAATTTGATAAGTTGTCTTTTTATAAATCTAGAATAGCATCTAATTTAATTTGGCATGGTATAATGGAAAAAAGCAGAATATTGGAAACGATGAGAAAGTCTTGAAGAATGGAATGTTTCTCTATGAAATTTCACTTTGAGTTTTGGGGGTTTAAAACACTTATTTTCCAAAAAATTCCCCCTTACTTCTGAATTTGCAAGCCTTATCTGTGATCTGTTTTTCCTGAGGGCTTTATTTGTTCAGTTCCCTCTTAATTGTATTTTATGTGGGAGTTTTCTGAATTTATAATGACATGCATAAACTTCCTTTACAAGAAAAAGGTAGAAGGACCGCAGCAAGGAAGCAGAAAGAGAAAGGGCCTGACATTCTGGGTTGCATGTAACATTTGTAACTTGGATCTCTTACGGCTATCCTTACAGCTTCACGCAGCTATCACATATGGACTTTGAACTGTTTATAGGTCTGGCGTGTACAGTAACCTTAGGAAGTCATCTGCTTCTAACTTAGTGCTGCCTAAACTGAGTTCTAAACAACTTACTGTCTGAAGACTTTAAAATTATGGTTTTCTAGGAGCATAGTTTAAAATAGTTTAAATAGGGTTGACGTTTTAGAATTCACACATCTAAAACGTAATAATAGGCCAACACCACATTACCAACATAAAAAAGCTGTTTACTCGGCAGAAGGACATCTTTGTTAGGTCGTGTGATGAAAGGCTCATCTCCACGCACAGGAGCACAGAGGCCCAGTGGCAGGCGAGGAAACCCCAGTCACCCAGACAGAGACACCAGCCCTGGCCCCGACCTATCTGGGGCTGTCCCAGGAGCCACCAGCCCTATGGGCTGAGGTGACACCCATCACCATGAGTCAACAGGAGCAGCTCTCTACAGCACCTTACAGACCAAGAGGGATTGTCTAAGGTTATGGGACACATCATAGGATTCAGGGGAACAGCTTTTGGGGATTGCACAAGACTTATTGTGGGATATCTAGTGGAGGAACCAAAGGTAGGTGAAGGAAGGCAGCAAGGTGGTTTGGGGAGAAACAAATATGGGACAGTGGAGGGACAAGGGCCTAAAAGGGGCCAATCACATGTAAACAAGTTGCTTGTATGGCCGTGCTCTGTGCCTGATCAATGCTGTCTGTCCTGTCCTCTGATTAAACTCCATTTCTAACTATTTTCTGGGTGAGGGGGCTCTTTTTGATGTGTGCATGTGCGTGTGTGTGTGTGTGTGTGTGGAGGTCGAAGTGGCAGCAACTAGAATGGGACCACAGCCAGTGGGCTGATGTGCCTGGGGTGCCAACAACGGGACTAGCCAGTGAGCAGGGTAAGAAGCTTGGGAGGCATCAGTGGCCATAAGCCTGGGCTGGATGCTAGAAGGACTAGAGAGTTTGACAGTTGGCTACTGGAGATGGAGGTTCAGAGCAAATACTGGAGAGAGCATAATGCCTGTGGGTGAACTGAGAGGCCCCTATTTGCATGTTTGTGTCTTTGGGCAGGAGGCAAGGGGAGACCAGCGAGTCCGGGTGCCAGTGTCTAAGGCCAGTAACTGGGGCTTCCATAGCGCATATGGGTGGGTGTTGGTGTGTATGGGGTGTGGGAAGGAACTGGAAGGCCAGGGGGTCCGGGGCCACTGGCTGCATACACTGAGTGTCTTAAGACCCATTACTGGATGATCCACAGGGCACTGGTGTGTGTAGGGGGGGTGTGTCTCTCTGTCTGTCTGTGAGT